ACCTTCAAGGAGTCGTTCAAATACTCCGGACCCAGATAGATCTAATAGTCAAATAAGACGAAAACCTAGTCAACAGTAATCACCAATTGAAAATTATCGACTTAATTTTTTTTCCCCCTAACATTGGGAATGAAAGGAAAGAAAGCAAATTCATTAAATCCTACTAAAAGGGATAAAAAATTGAGTAAAAACCATGATTTTTCGACTGTTACGGACCCACGTTTTGAACATGTACGAAAAGACCCGCGATTTATACGGCCTAGGCAAAAAGACGTAAAAATTACCCTTGATCCTCGGTTTGCTCACATTTTTGATAGTGAAGAATTTATCGAAACACGTAAGTCAACGTTCTTTTCTCTTGCACGATTTATTGAGAATTTTGCTTTATTGAATTTATCATTCTTATTTTGTAATAATTTGTTAAGCCAAGGTTGATAAATATGGACGATTGACTTCATCAGATAAAGTAGCAAACGAATTAAGAAACTTTTATATGTTGGATGAAGCAGACAGTCTCCCACACGAAAATAAAAATCATAAGCCATCAAAGGATATTATTGATTCCTCTGATGATTCCGAAAATAGCGAATATGAATCAGGGGAAGGTGCCTCGCCAGTTTTAGATCTCGCTAGAGGAGAGGGTGTAATTTCTGAATCATCAGACGATGATTATGATGTTGATGATGATGGAAGTGACGTTGGCATTGAACAACCTGATGAGCAGATACCAATTGGGGAAGAGACGCATAGATTTGCAGTAGTCAATCTTGATTGGGATAATGTAAAAGCTTCAGATCTAATGAAAATATTTAATGGTTTCAAAAAAAATGGATCTATTATACATTCAGTTAAAATATATCCTTCGGAATTTGGCAAAGAGAGATTAGTGAAGGTATTTATATATATATAGAGTAATATTTGAATTTAATGTCTAAGTATTCATTTAAATTAAATATTAAATTTAGTATGTTTATTATAGGAAACACTTGAAGGTCCACCAAAGGAAATATTTATGCCAGCTGACAATAATTCTGAGGATGAAGAAATTAATGAAAAGACAATAATCAAATGTGATACGGGTGAAGAGTTTGACCAGGAAGCCTTGAGAAAATATCAATTGGAGCGATTAAAGTATTAATCAAGACTAAATCATTTTTGCTAAAGTATAATAAATGTAAATAATGTAAACGTTTATTGTTTCTTATGACAGATATTACTATGCCGTTGTTGATTGTGATACAGTGGAAAACGCACGTTATATATATCAACAATGCGATGGTGCAGAATTTGAAAGTACAGCAAATGTTTTCGATTTACGTTTTATACCTGATGATATGACATTTGAAGATGAGGCAAAGTATATAGATAAATATTTATATAAAATTTTAGACTTAATTTTATTAGCAAATTAATTTTTTTTTCCTTCCCCGCGTTCAGAGACGAATGTTTTCAAGCGCCTGATACCTATAAGCCTGTAAATTTTGTTACGGGTGTAAGAATTAATAATCTCTTTTTAATGAATTTTCATATAACAGACTTCCCTAAATGCAATACTCTATAACAGGACTGTAGATCATTTTCGACCTGGCTCTGAAATCTAATAAAATTTAAAATATTATAAAACTTTGAGCAAAGATACCTTA